AGTGAAACCAACCCGCTGTATATACAGAGTGCTTTAGGTTGAAGTAACTCTTATTTTACAAACAACAAATATATTTAGTAAAGCGAACCATATAATATATGGTATATACCATATATGGTTTACTTTACTAAATATGTTGTTTGTAAAATAAGAGTTACTTCAACCTCAAGCACTCTGTTAAAACGATTAAAACAATTTGCCGTGCATTCCTGGTTGCATATTGTGTACCGATCTCGGCAAAGGCGGTGTGGATCACGTGATGTTCTTAAATCTCGCCTCTGTTGACTTACATGAAGAGTATATAAGCTCAGGTAGTCCTTTGCTTTGGTGTGACACTACAAGTTGTTCGAAACTAAAGAGACCTTAAATAGGTGGAAACAGCTGTCAATACTTGAAGTATTTTAAGTTGGTGGAACGCACTAAAAACTTTATCTCTAGCGAGTTGAAGGTTTAATTTTTTGGAATAATACCACTGGTAATATACCAGTAATGCGTCAAGGAACTTCCTGTTTCCTTTTTTTTTTTTTTTTCTGTGTAGTATGATTTAATTTGACCAAAAACACATAATATTTAACACTGAAAAGGAGTTCAATTTACACCAGGTAAAATTTATTTTAATACTGTGTGAAAGTTAAATTTACACTATTTTAGTATTTGAATTTACACTGGACCAACGAACCATGTTTAACACCATTTTGGTTTGTATCGATATAGACCATGTATGGTGTTAATTTGGTGTTAAAATGGTCATGAAATTTTGAACAGTGTACGAAAACACGTATTTACACATAATTACAATTGTTCGAGTGAACACAGTGTCGTAGAAACAGGGGTTGCTTAAGCTTATTGTCTCATAAAAACTTTTGAGGTTAGGTTTTTATACCATTTAATGCAATTTTTCGATTACTCAGTTCGGCTACTATTAAAAAGGTGGACCTCTCAAACTTCGATAAAATAAACCGTTTCCGAGATATTCGAGATTACAATAATTGTTATATCGCATTAAAGGACTAGAAGGATATGAATTTTTTAATTGAAAAAACTACAATTTGTGACTATCAGGGCAAAAAGTTCCGAGGCTCATGGAAGGTTTTTTTTTAGTTTTTTTAATTAAAAAATAAAATTTGTTATCATATACCTTTTATTCCTTTTAAAAACATAAGTAATTACTATAATTATAATTAGAAAAAATATTTATTTGGGTTTATGTCTTATTTTGACTTGCTTAATCTTTTCCTAAATTTATGCCAATAAGTTTAGGGACACCTATATAATATTTTAATAATTTTAAATAATTTGTAACCATAATTTTATTATTTATATGTAATTTTATAGATTTTAATTTATGTATTGTAGTTTTTTCACCTACATTAAATACACAAGCAAATTTTAAAGGCAAATAATAAAAAAAAACAGAAAACATTCTTACAAAACTTAACCTTAAAACAAAAACACATGTGTCAATAATACTATTAAGGTTAGTTTACACCACGATTCGTTGGTCGTAAGACGACTTGTTGCACAATATCCATTTTATATTTTTATTTTATTTTAATGTCTTTTTAATCGGCTTCCAATAGACACGGTCCCAATTACAGGAATACACAGCCCAACACAAATAAACAGCCACCGAATACGGTAGGTACTACTAAACCACCGAGGTTGGTATTGTCTTTGTTTATCCTTATTTCTTTCTTTTTTATTAATAGTGTTTTTTACTATTGTTAATTTACTCAATATATTTTTGTAAGTTAAAAAAAAGGCCTATTAAAACTTTCTGATAAGTAAAGGTGGTACCGCACCATCAAGAATGCGTCGGTTTGTCAGTCAATGATTTAATAGTATATTCTGTGACAAATTTAGAATACGGCATATTTCGCTCCAGTGAAAAGTTTGTCACACGAGCCGAAGGTTTGACGGTTTCACAAGAGCGGAATATGCAATTTCAAAATTTGTTTTAGACTATACTTTTTCTAAGTTTTCAAAAAATACCATAGAAAAATAATGTAATTGAAAGGAAGTGAGGTTGGGGATCGGTATAAAAGTTGTTAGATAATATCCGTCATCCGGTGATAATTAATTCATTCTGAAACACTTCAAGAAGTATATGTAATTCCACATTAAAAAGTGATATTAGAACGGTCATATTCCGTAATAGGAGCAGAAAAAAGTTTTTTTATTGATTTTAAACACTAAATATTCATAAAATTTTGATAATTAAACAAAGTGTTTGAGTGTGGTATCAATATAATAGTATAAATATTTCTTTTGATAAGCATTTTTGTAAAATATGAATGAATCATAATTAGTAAATTGAAAAAATACTATTTTTCTAATCAAGCAGTAATGATCACTAATCTTGTGTATGGTGGTATGCTCTTGAGAACGGGCATACCTATATTAGAACTTCTAATTTAGAAGTAACATACTTTTACTTTTATTGAAGAATACCGTTACAATGGGCACTTGCTGGACGTTTCATAATACGCACCGAACACCTGGTTGGGTTAATATTTTATTATTTCGTTCTATTCATCAATATCGATTTTTTATAATTGTTACTTTCCAAAACTATCTTAACAAAAGTGTAATTATATAAATTTATGGTTGATTATATTAAGTTTTTTGTATCTCGGCTCTTAGGTTGGCGGTTTATAAAGACAGAAACGTTTTGTTTTTTTTATTTCCACAATGACACCCTCATTGACGGCCTTAAAAACAAAATAACTCCTACAATTTGCGATTTCAAAAAAACGGTAAAAAAATTGTCTTGAACTTTCGCAAGGAATCGGCCCATTTTGTTTGGTCCAGTGATTTAGGGACACCTTGTATATACGGTTGTCCTAAGTATTCTTCTATGGGTATTTGTTTTGTTTGAAGAGCTACAAGGTTGGTTAAACTAGAGAAAAGTTGCGTAATTACAAGCCTATTTAAATGAAATTTATAAATTGTAAAAAAAACAGAAGTTCTCTAAATATTTAAAAAAAAATCGTTATAATCGTTATTTCTGGAAATTAAAAAAAATAAGTTTACACGTTAACATACACATTCATTTACATTTTCATCCAATTTATTCCCTACTATATTTTGAGCTACCATCACCCGCTTTTCTAGCTCTGATCTGAAACTGACATTTTTCGAGAATGAGCCAATGGTAACTTTTGATCTACAATACACGTAAAATCTAGCCAAATCTACAAATAGCCATTTCCCATAGGATTAATATGGGTACTTTTCAAAAAGTAAAAGTCATAAAAAAATCCCCTACCGCACAAAGAGCACGACTCCTCATCAATTGGCTAACATTCGCAAGATTGATTTTTACTTTTAATTCAAAAATGTTTCTTTTCTTGTACTTTAAAACATACGAAAAAAAAATAATTTTAAGTTACAAAGAATTAAAACCTTAATGTTATTTTTACACCCTGAAGAAAATGAAAACAAACTAGATAATCAAGAAAAGTTATAAACGGGGAATTTCTTAAATAAACAAAACAGCACATTGATTGATTTTAAAATAAATCCATGCTTTTAAACATAATCTTTACTAAAATTATGTAAAACATTCTAAAAATAAAAGGGAAAGAATTTAAAATAAAAACACAAAACCAAGATTTTACAGTATTAAAAAAACTATTAAAAGATTAATCTAATTGGGTACATTAATTAATTTTCTCGCACTTTTTTAACCAAAGGTCAATGTTTCTAGACGTCCCAATTAATTTATTGTATTTTTATATGTGAGAATTAAATTCTAAAAATAAAGCTATTTTGGTTTCGAGAAGGCATTAAAAGATTGAAATTTAAATAGATAAAATTAGAAATGGTCTTAAGTTAAATCCAATATTTATTTAGGTATTTTGAGACCAGACTTGATGTTGAAGTGTTTTTAATTTTATATATATTTATTTTAAACCAAATATTAATTATTATTATATAATGCATATTTTTAGTAAATTTTTAGAAAAGATATTATTTCTTATTTATTTTGATAAGCAAATTCGAAGTGAATAGATAGGAAAATTAGTCATTTTAATATGACATCATGTTAAATACACACAATAACAGTTTATCTTTATATAGCAAAAATTATGGAGAATAAAATTAAAAAATAGTCCAAGGATTCTCGTTAAATAATTTTAATTTTATAGCCTAAAAGTTATGAAAATTATCTGAATCTGTTTTTGATAAAGTTTGGAGTAAGCGTATAATACACACACCCATATGGGTGTACTATACACGTATATGGGTATACCCATACAATGTCCAAAATATATTTATATGGACGTTCTTCGTTTTATTTTTAGAAATTAACCTGTTCCATTGTTTTTTCTTCTATATTTTTACCTCCACAATGATGTCATTTTTTAATTGTCAAAATTGTTTTGCTGGGCTTTATTGGCCAAATGGATAGAGTTTAGTAAAATACATTCAAACTTAAATCATCACTGTTTTTTGTGAAAAAAGTTGTAACATTTTAAAAAGACCTATACTATCTATATTATATTTGACACACATTTTCCATATTTTTCGTTATTGATAAATTAAATATTATCCCAATAACAGTGCTAAAAAATAGTGCTAAATAAAATACAGAGCTAAAAAATAGTGCTAAATAAAATTATTATTGAAATTGTAATAAAAAATAATAAATAATACAAATGGTTTAAACTAAAATTAATTGGATATTTATATGTATAATTTAAATTTTAAAGCCCACACACCAATCTAACTAACTTACTTAATAAATAATAAACAGATGATATTTAAATGCTGCATAAAATGTAGGACATTAATTTATTCAAAAACCATCTTACCATGTAAGCCAAAATGAGTAATGAGATAATTTTATTAGATAATTAATTTCTTTGTTTAAAAACGTTTTAATGCATTGGCTTAAGTGCAATCAGCTGTGGTAAACAATATATATATATTGAGCAATTATATTATATTGCCACATTATTTTTATTATTTACATTTTGCGAATAAAGTCTACTTACCAAAGCATTAAGTCCATAAAACAAAAACTGCGCACAAAACTATGTCACCAAAAACCAACAACACTAAGTTAGTAAGTAAGACAACTCAACTTAAGTCCATGCACTTTGTGTCTGGATTCGCGCATGCAATACAACTGAGTGCAGCAGGTAAACAAAAGAGTGACGGTGTGTATGAGGGAGAGGCGTGCGATCTTGGCGTGCCGTGAAAGTGGTACCTGTACGGTTCGCTCGCCTCCAGCCAACGACTAAACGTACGTCCTGACAAAGGCACACCACCAGATTTACTCGCTTGGTCGCCGACGCTTTGTAAGCCGTAAGAGGGAGTGACTCACTGCATCTAGCGAGTCGAAAATCTTGACTCGAGATAGGGTTATCGGCGTCGTGCTCTATACGCATGACATATTTAAAGTGGAAGATATTTTGTACACCTGCTGCTGGTGCACCATCATATAATAAATATTAATATACACCATGGTAATAATATGGGTCATTTTCAAGAAACACCCCCTTTCAGGAAAATGAAGATCAAAATTTTTTTTTGCTTAAATTGACTTTTGGTTGGACTTTTATAAATGTTTAGAGTTTTGTTTACTAACTCTCTAAAAATGAATTAGTCAAAAATGACTAATTTAATAGTTATTAGTGGCTGCTTTTTCACTTGTACCATGGTTAACCATGGAATAACATGGTATCCCAAAATTTAACAGCCAATTCTTATGTAAAATTGTCCCCTGAATCCGAAAATTATAAAAGTGGAGCAGTTTTTGAGATATAGTCAATTCCATATTAAATGGAAAATTGACTATAGGGTCATTCCACGTTACTCGGGGATTTTTGTCCCACCCGTCACAATTAAAAATTGTGAGTAAAAACTACAAGTTATAAAATTTATTTAAAAATATTGTTCTATTATGCTTGTGGTGTTTACTCACAATTTTTAATTGTGACGGGCGAGACAAAAATTACCGAGTAACGTGGAATGCCCCTATATCTCAAAAACTGTTCCACTTTTTTAAGTTTTGACGACATTTTCGGATTTAGGGGACAATTTTACATTAGAATTGGCTATTCAATTTTGGGATACCACGGTATTCCATGGTTAACCATTGTACAAGTGAAAAAGCAGCCACTAATAACTATTAAATTAGTCATTTTTGACTAATTCATTTATAGAGAGTACATTTAAGACAGGCAGTGCACTTTTTAATTTTTTTTACGTTTTTTTTTTCAGAAAAATGTGTTTAGCTAGGTTTATATGTCCCCACTGTGTTACCAATTTAAAATCCAAAATTTAATTCAATAAAAAAAGTTGTTATAAAAATAATTTGAAATAAAATGTACTTAGTTCACAAACTTTTGACTCCAATTTTATTTTTTATTAAAAATTGTATGCCTTTTTTAAATATTTATGTTAGTTAAGTTACTTTTTAAAAGACACCATTCCGATTCTTTGTTAAAAAAACAATACCATTATTATTTTCTTTTAGTCACTGTATTAGTGAGTTAAACTCTAATTTATAAACAGGTATTACCAAGTGATAGTAAAATCATTTTAAGGATTTTTTTTTAACAAAAACTAAAAAAAGTAACGAAATAGACATTGGTATCACAACGGACTGGGGTTCACAAAGGACTTAATCAGATAACGTAAAAAAGAAACTATATACGATTTTAGAGTAATGCATTTATATTATTATATAAACAAAATCCCTTGTAGTGGTGCTCACTTGCTGAATAACAACTTAGATTTCTAAATTATAGACACCCTTTTTCTTTGACTATAAGCTGGTGTGTTTTAGTACTTGTATATTGCGTGGAATTTTCCCTTGGATGTAATCTATACCATGAGTTGTAATCACAAATAATTTAAAATTGGTTTATCATAAACTACTTTCAATAAAAGCGACGGTAAATATGCACTTTGTTGTCGAAAAATTCTATTGCGTTACCATAAGGTAACGTAGTGGACTCGGTAACGCAGTGGACAAAGTTTTGTGAAACCATATTTAAAAAATAATAATAAGACATTACAGTCATTAATTACTCTCAATGAGCTTTAGTGCCCTAAAATAAACTTAAAACTTGAAAAATAGTATTTTTTCTTACCTTATTTTTATTATTTTTTTGAGTAACTTAGCGGACAAACAATTATTACATTCGCGTTACCCGCACCTGTTTCAACCGATATCTTCTTCCTGAGTGAATAAATAAATTCAGCTGGGTAATGTGTACGTCCGAAAATCATTTGTTGATCACGTGAGTGCCAAAAAAGTTGCCATATGTATGTTTTTTTAATGTTCTATCGGTAACGCGACGGACGTAACGCAACGGAAAAAATGTCTGGGACATGAGTCAAATTTAAAAAAAAGTAGTTTAAAATTAATTATTTTATATATAAATTGTTTACTGTATTAACTAAGGATGTTATGGATTGCTATAAAGCAACACAAAGTTCTGGTTATTCAATATTAAAAAAAAAACATGTATGTAAGTTTAATAAAACGCTAATGGGACATGCGAAAATGTGTGTTTCACAAGTTTCAAAATTAAAAAAAAATTATTCTTAAATAACTAAACAAACATTTTCTGAAAGAGTTTACTAAGGGCTTGTTAGGCTTTCACTTGGTTGTTAAATCAATAAGATCCGATAATTTTTACAAAGTTATTGGAATTCAAACTTACGGACAGGGGAAGGCGGGTGTTTTTTGAAAACGACCCATATACACCATGGTGGACCTGTGTAAGATATTACTCGGCAAGGTATATTTTATTGAACGATCCATTACCCTAAAAAATTTGTTAAAAAATGTTGGCAAACTTGGCAGCTTCGTATTGATAGCAAGAACAAGTACCTCGAAATTATTAAAGTAAAATAATTAGTGTACAAAAGCATAGGTACTTCCTTTGAAGTTATGGAAAACATGTAATTGTAAGACATAAAAATATACCTAATTAAAACAAACACTGTTAATCTAGCAATCTAAATTACCGGTGTCCTAATTAAGTATGCAATTTCAACGAGCTATTTTGTACCTAATTCAATTCCCATAATTATGCTTTACTAAGGTCTTAATTAATTGTTTATTCGTGCCCAAGGCGCGCACTGTACCTACACAGTAACTGTATTATTTGTATATGGAACAAATACCGTTATCCGAGTGAATATTTTCGGATGACGGATTGTCTGAAGATATTGGCAATGAATTATTTAGCATAATTAATATTAATAAAATAAATATTTTAACTTATTTAAAAAAAAACGTATAGTAAAGTATATTACCATCAACCTTGTATTAACTTATTTATTAAGTCGCAAGTTTACAAAAATAATCTATTTGTCCCACACAAAAAAATGAACATGTTTCTTGAACCTCAAAAACCAAAACACTGACATTGACAGTGAAAAAATAAAATTAAGGTCATTTCACAATGATACGTGCATAGCCGTGAAATTTCTACAAAAGTTTATGTTGTCCCAACTCTATCATTCTGCTAGAGCACCCTGGGTCTGGCTACTTTATTTTATTAATAACTTATGGTGCGTCTGATCAAAAAACGGCAAAGACTATTTGACTTAGAATCCCATCCTCTATCCACCCCTTTTCTGCTGTCCTTGACTTTTGAGACACCCTGTATATTGAATGTAAGACAATTACAAATCTGTTGTTTTATTAAAAAAAATCAAAAATTAAAAATATTTATTGAAATAAATAAAATTCTTATTTTTTAAGTATATATATATAATTTTTGTATTATGTAAAAACAAAAAAATAATTTATAACAAAATGGAGAAATAAAAATCTGTACCTATATAGGTTATATATGTTAATATAATACGAATGGCTGTATAAAAAAATTAAATGACGTGATTTCGTGAAACGGTGAGACAAAAGTACGGTTTTTTAACCTTTATTTTCAAAATCTGTTAAATTTTTCATGAGAGGGAAATCGTGTTGTGTAATCAATAAGTTAATCAATAAGTTACAGCTATTTTTAACACACAGTTAATACATTCTTATATAAATATGATTTGGAATTAAATTTTAAAAGGAAATAGGTAATTCCAAAAACATAAAACAATGTTAAAAAACTTAACCTTTAATAAATAGATAATTAATAACTAATAATATGTAAAAACGTGTGCGAAGTAAAGTTAATTAATTTTAAATAGGTAACAATTATTTTTTTTTACTTTTACGAGTGGATAATAAAAAATTTATAAACCCATTTTAATTAATTAATTCTACTATAAAAAACTAAACATAAAGATATTATCAATTTCAATTACAATAATTATTATTAAATCGACAAACTTTCAGGATCGATAGAGCTCCAAAAAATGAGAAGATTCAATCCAGGAAACATATCTCAGACGCATAATAACGAAAATTTAAGCCGTCAAAGTTGGAACAAAAAAAATGTTTGTATCTTCTCCCACTATGGTAACTAGATTATTGTTACATTGTTTTATAGCAGGTAAGTTGAATTTACCGTGAAAGGCTGGTTGCTATTGACAACAGGAGGTAAGTGAGCTCCTTACCTCCCATGGGTAAACAACGTCTTAATAACGACAAAATCATATTAGACCACGTGACATCCTTTAATGTCAAAAAATTACTTAGGGTGAGTGTCAAAATAAATAGATCAAAAAAGTATTTTTATTACATGAAACCTAGCTGTGAGAGGACATAAAACGTTATACATGACGCAGGAGGTAAATTTTGACTAGACTTGGACTCTAAATTTAAGATTAATCTACTTACCTACTTTGTCTCATAACTTTTGATGACAGGTGTGTCTGGAAGCTGGTGGAATACATTTCGAACATTTGTTATGAATTTGTTGAAAACAACCAATCAAACATATTTACTTAATTTTTAATTAGTTCAATCTCATTTTTAATTGAAAACCTGTTTTCAAAGTTTTAAACCCAAATATCTCAAAAACGAAGCATCTAATAAAAAATTTTCAATAGTTTCTTCCCAATTAACGTAGAATTTAAAAATATAATAATTTTATTAAAAATATTAAAAATTATAGGGTACATTTTACGTAAGGGGGGTCCCGTCACATCTCTACAAATTGCAGTTGGTTTTATGAATTGTCGTAGTTTTTCAAATATACGGTATCCGGCCGGATATTGACTTACTATCCGGTATCCGGCTGAATGGTATATTTAAGCCGGATACCAGATAGTTGCCCGATATCCGTTTCATATCTAATAATAATGTTTTAGTTATCTTTGGCAAATTTTAACAAAATCGTTAAGTGGTTCAAAAGAAATTTTGATCTTTTCGAAATAAGAAAATAACGATTTTTTAATTCCAGCTTTCTCCGTTATTATGCGTTTCAGATATATGTGTCCTGGATTGACTCGTTTTATTTTTTGGAGCTCTATCGAGGGAGAAGATTTTGGTTTTTGGGGGACTCATTCATTTGGGGTTTATGAATGGTGTTTGGTTGGTTAGTACGCTGCTAGGAACTATCCGTGCTGGTCTTGTAATA